GGGATTTTTTACCCCCACGGGGCTTGCAAGTGATGCAAGGGCAGCACGGGACTGGGGACATGGGGAAGGCTCTTTGGATATCCCAAGAGCTGCTGGCGGTGCCGAGGTTGTGGCTGGTGCGGGATGTGCCACAGGGATCCCCACACAGCTGCCTTGGCCATGGGGAAGCCAGAAGGGCTGGTCCTGGGAGCTGTGATCAGACAATGCAGTGGTAGGAGAAGGGGCTGATTTGAGACTGGGTTTATTAAACCCTCACTCACCCCCTCAGTGCTCATGGAGTGGTTGTTAGGTTGGGAAATGTCCCTTATGCATGCCTGTGCCAGCAGAGCAGAGCCCTGCTGCTGTCTATCCACAAACAACTCCCCAGCTTGACCACAACCATTCATGAGCATGGGACAGGGACACTGCTGCTGATCTTCACTGGGCCCTTTTCAAAGAGAGATACTGCATCTCTCTGAGCCACTTTGCCCTGAAATGTGTCCTTCATCAGCCGGGAACGGAGCCTTTCCCTATGGACGCCTCCACAAAACACATGTTGGCTTTGGGGGTAGCTGCAAAATCACTTCTTTAAATGCCATTTTTGGGTAGATTCAACCCATACTTTTTTGATTCAGCTGGGGAAAAAAAAAGGTTTTCTGCATTGCCAGACTCATTACTCAGATTTTTTGCTATTTTAACCTAGAACTCACAATAACGTCTGGCATCCAAGGAGTGCTTTCATATTTTAAAGCTCTTTGCAAAGTGTCTGAATCCAGGTGTGTTTGCTCAGACTAAGCAGCCATCGAGATCCAGGGACCTAATCCTGCATTGGCAAACCTTTTGCTTCCCCTCATACACCTCTTGAGGGGGAAAGAGCACATCAGGAGCAATGGAGAAGGCGGAAATTTGGAAAGCTGATGGCTCTGAAGTGCAGACAGAGGGAACAGAGTGATGGAGAAGCCCTGTGGAGGCGGCACAGCCTGCGGTGGCTGAGCCAGGTTGAGTTGCCTGCACTTGGCATGGTGCTACCATTTGGTCCAGATTATAGTTTTCTAATAGAAACTATCCCTGGGTTTTAGCCCCTCTGGAATCCACAAAGTTTTGTGGTCTCACGTCTGTGCCTGTGGTACGTGTGTGTGGGTGTGGGAGCGAGCGCGTGTGCCGGCCGGGACAGGCTGAGCTTTCAGCCCTGGGGTGCTGGGCTGAGCTGGGGTCTGCAAAGGAGAGAGGGTCCCAAACCCCCTGTGATGTTCACCCCGGGGTGCTCTCAGCCCCCGTGTGCTGCAGAGGGCTGAGCCACCCCCGGGTGTTTGCATCCCCCAGCCCTGTGTCACAGTATTCCCAATAAACTATCGGAAGGAGAAAAAGGGGACCCTGGAGGGACAGCCGAGGGCTGGAGGGCTCCTGCATCCAGCGAGGGATGATGCAGGCTCTGAAGGCTGCCCTGCTCTGTGCTGAGGGAGGGGTCAAAAAGGACTGATTCCTGAATAACAGATGGGGAAACTGAGGCACAGCAATGAGCCCGGGGCATGGGGAGGTTATGGAGGAACTTCAGCCCGGGGCTCCCAGCCGGTCCTCTTGGGAATCACTCAGCCCCAGGTGAGCAGCTCCAGCCCCAACTCCTGCTCCAGCTCCAGCAAGGGTTAAGGCAGCTGTGAGATGGAGCCTGCAGAGGCCCCTGAGCTCCCGAGGAGGAAGATGAGCGTGGCGAGGAGACTCTGCTTCCTCCGGGGCGAGGCTCCCCACCGAGGAAATTGTCAATTAGCGACATAGTTTTAACCGCAGAGCGCAGATTCCCAGGATCCGGTGGCTGCTCAGCCGTAGTCCCCATTATTCTTGTTTGTGTCCCCCGGGGTCCCAGAGCTCTGTGAGATCAGGCACTCGTCGTGCTAGGGCAGGACCCCAGGGGGTTTGCTGTGGGTTCAAGCACCAGCAGCAGCCACGAGGGATGGGAACATGATGCCCAGCTCTGTGCCTCAGTTTACCCACCTGCAAAGCATGGAAAGGCTGGGGGTGGAAGGGTGGGATGCTGCTTAGGGACAAAGGGAGCTGGGCTGGGTTCCTGCAGGATGGCAGCACTGCAGGTCCCCCCATCACTGCCTTTTGGTGGGCATTGCCTCCCTGCCTCCAGCCTCAGAGCACAGGATCAGGCCCCAGAATAATTTCAGAAATCCTGCAACCCCCCAGCCCTTCCTGCATGGGAAAATGTAATTCCCTGTCCTCAGCAGCTCTGAAGGGATGGAGAGAGGACGGAACAGGTAAGCAGGGAGAGACCCTCTGCCACCAGACACAGCCAAGCTGCTGGTCACAACCCCAACCACAGAAGTGCTGACTTTTAAAAGAGATTTACCTGCTCTCACCACTCTGCCCGTGGGGGCTGCACTAAAGGGGGGTCCACAGCCACGCACCCCCTTCCTTCTCCCTAGCCATACCTGTGCAAACCCTTTTCTGCCTCAGTTTCCCTAGCAAGGTGAGCAGGATCACCAGGCTGGTACTGGTGAAACAAAGGCTGAACTGGAGCAGCTCCCAGCCCCCGGCACGCTGTGTGCGTCCCCACCCAAAATATGCCGGGCGGGTCACCTCGCACCGACCCCACCAGCGGCCGCCCCCTGCCCCCTGCCCAGCCCCGACCTCTGGAGCTGCTGAATCACGTCCTGGGGAGCGGCTGCCGCCAGCCCGGGCTCCACGCGTGACCCACTTCTCCCGCGGCTGCTCCAGCTGCGAGCGCAGCTGGGGAGCGGCAGCGCCGGCGCTCCCAGCCCCGGCCAGGGCTGCCCTGCTGTCGGCCGCCACGTGCTTCCCCAGGGAGCTCAGGTGCGGAGCTCACAGCGGGGCTCAGACCTCTTTGGGGACAGGGTTTGTGAGCGGGGGACGCAAACCAGCCGTGCCATACGGGTGCAAGTGGATCTGCTGCTGGAGGGGATGGTGCCTCTCCCAAATGGCATCACTCTCCCCAGGGACGTGCACAAGGCCAGACCTCACCTTGAGCATCCCAGGGAAGCTCTGGCTGAGGGAGCAGGTGGTGGGTTTAGCTGGGATGTGCCAGGGCACCTGCCATGACTAAGGATGTAAAGGCTCCCAAAGAGCCACGGTTCACCCTAGCAGGCAATTCTGTCCTGCCTTGTTGTCACAGCAGGAGAAAACCTTCACCACAGCACACAACTCTGCCTGCATTAAAAAAACAAAACAAAACAAACAAACAAAAAAAAAAAAACAACAAAAAAAACCCCCAAAAAACCACCAAGCTGGACCAAAAACTTCTGCTGGGAAAGTTTGACTTGGGACCACAGCTCGACCACCCAGTCCCCACACCACACCTTGATTCTCCTCATGTCCAATCCTGCTCCAAGCACCATGGGGACTCCAAAAGCAATGTGCTGCCCTGGGTGAATCCCCCATGGCATTGCCACGAGTCCCTTGGTGCCAGCCGTGGGCGCAGAGCCACCCTCCCTGTGTCTGTGGGCAGTGGGCACCTGGAAGGGCTGGCAACAGGGCCATGGCATGGCCCAGCTGCTGGGCAAGGGGCTGGCCATGCATGGCTGGTGGCCAAGCCATCAGCTGAACCTCCTGGGATGAGGCTGAGGGGAATCTTGTCACCCCCAGATCTCAGCCATTTCTGCTTCAAGCCCAGCCTAGGTAGGTTTGGTGTCCCCAGCCATGGAGCTGTCACACCTCCTGACTGCCCTGACTGCCTACACAGACTGGGGGCCATGGGAGAATGAGCTCAGCCATCAGCTGGCTCTGAGAGAAGGAAATGTTTGTGAAGGAGGTGGAGAGGGGTCTCCAATGTCATTTTGGAATCTGCAGAGGGTTCTTGGTAAGAAAATCCCATTGCAGTGCTGGCAGTGAGCCTGGAGGGGAACTGGCCCTGCTCATTGTGATGTCCAGGGAGGCTCTGCTCCCTGCAGACCCCGTGGGCTCAGAGCTTTAGCTCAGTCAACTGGAAAACTTTCAGATGATTCTAAGCAAACAGCATATCCTTCCAAGGGGTTCCCTGCACACCCACAGTCCCCTGGTGCAGGAGAAAACGGGAAGGACACAACCCATAGCTGGGGTGCCTGGTGTTTGGTCCAGGTGGGGTCTGACCGGGGACATCCCAGCATTACTGACCCCAGGGATGAGCGGTGTGGCTCCGGACAGGATCTTTGCTGTTTGCCAACAGGCCATTGCAGGCATCTTGCCTGCCCCTCTCCTTGCCCTCTTCAATGAGGGAAACAGCCTGTTGGTGCCATACCCCACTGATACCCCGAACTCCCAGTGCCAGTGCCACCCTGTGCGATTTCCACTTGGCTCCTTCCCGGTGTACCTGGATATGCTTTTACTCCCAGACAACACAAGAACCCCCACCTGCCTCTGCTCCCCACCTCCAGAGCATCTCCCCTGCTCTGGCTGCAGGTGCAGAGCTTTGAGCTGCTGTCTGTGCCCCATTGCCATCGGGAGATGCTCTGCACCCCGCTCCGGGGCTGCTGTCCCCCCCTGTGCCCCCCACAGCCCCTTCCACCGCCAACTTCAGCGCTCTCCTTCCCGCCGACGCTGCCGCCGGAGGGACAGATGGTGCCCTCGGAGACACACCTGCTTGGGTTTTATCTTGGCTCCCAACTTGCATTATTTCACCCGGCAGCCTGCTACGGACCCGTGCCATCCGCACCACCGCTCCCGGGGGGGCCAAAAACCCCAGACCCCCAACCCACCCGCACCCGGGGCTGAGCTCCCCCCGCCTCCGCCGCCCCCCCAGCCCCGGCCGCGGGTTAAGGTGACCTTTGCAAGGAAGCAGCTTCCCCCAAAGTCCCCGGCAAGGCTCCCTCGCTCCCCCCGCCGCTGCCACCCGGCTCAAAGGTGTGGGAATCCGAGGAGCGCTGTGAATCCCTCCCTGCTCCCAGGCAGCAAATACACCCAGCCAGCTCCCCACTCGCTGTCATTCATCTCCACTCAGTTCTATATATTGTTCTGCCTCTTTCTGAGCTATATAGAGATTCAGTTGGATTTGCTGCTTCCTTTTTTTTGGTTTGTTTTTTAAATACCTGATGAGTATGGAGACCCCAACGTCCTCGCAGTTTGCATATACTCTGCTCCATATCTCTTGAATAACCTTTTTTTCTGCGTCTGAAATTTCTTCACTTCTTTCCCATCTCTCAATCTCCATTTCTCCCTGGACTTTCTCCATGAAAAACAGCCGGCAGGATCCTCCGGGAAGCCAGGAGGAGATAAAGAGAGATGTGTGTGAGCGGGTATATCCTGCAAGAGGAGACAAGGTGTTTGCTTGGCGGCTCTGCGACGTGTGGATGTGTGTGTGTGTGTGAGTGTGTGTGAGTGCAGCTGCCTGTCAGCGTGTTTAGATATGGAATTTAAAAAATATCCCGGAGGAATGATGCGTGCGATTAGATTTGAGATCTCCTAGTGCTGTCCATGGCTGTAGTTAGCTTCAGCTCGCCTCGGATGTGTGTGGCTGACTGATGAGGAACTGCCTAAAAGTAAAATATTCAAAGGCATTGCAAGACCAGCCTCTTCACCAATGTGTGAACGTGAGCTCACTTTCTCCCTCTCTCCTCCTCTCTCCCACTCCTCCCTCCTTCCTTTTATTTTTTTTTTTTTTTTTTTTTTTTTTCCTCCCTGAAAGGGAGGGATGAGAGAGATGTTCTGGGCAACATCAGGACGGGGCTGACGGGGGGGAGGTAGCGCTGGAAGTTTTTTTTTTTCCAGCCCTTTGTAAACAGCTCAGAGGAAATTCAGAATCCAGAGTGCTGAGTTAAAGTTAGCCCAAGCGCTGGCTGTGCCGAGTTCTGCCCCGGCTCTGCTCTTTGCACTCCCTGATTTTGCAGGAGGTGATGTTTGGAAGGACAGACCCCTCACCTCCAGTTCTTGGGCTGCCAAGAGATTTGGGTCGAGAGGCTTCCCCACTGCAAGAATCTCTCTGCCCCCCAAAAGAGATCATGATCTGTCCCATAGGGACTTTTTTCGTGCTGAGAATTTGCTCTCCCTTCTCGTGGCACGACCCAGCTGAAAGGGATCCAGAGTTAAGGCACTGGTGAAATGAAGGTATTATTGTCGATTGCATCGCTCCTGGCAGCGCCTTGGCAGGGAACACCTCCACTCCAGGCTTCCCGCCGCCTTCGTGGGTGTGCTTTTGGGGCTGGCTTTTACCCAAATGCCATTCCCAAATGCTCGCTGACAATCCGGCATGTTAAACCTACAGTCCATTTGCACAGAGAGCAGGAAAATCCTACGGAGACTTGTAATAACCGCGAGTGCCCCGGGGGGGATCAGAGACCAGCGGAGCTGCCCTGCAGCCAGGGCAGACGGACAGACAGACGGACAGACGGGCTGCGGGTGCCGCTCTGGCAGCCTGGGGGGTGGCTGAGCCCCTTGAGGGGTTGGAGCTTTGTTATTGCAGAGCTGTCGAGGCTTTTTTGCTGTATTTCTCCTCCAAACCAGCCTTGGCCACCTCCCCATTAGCAGCCGCCAGACTGGTGGTGTCAGCAAATTTGCTCTTGCAGAGCTAATGAGAGCTGGTGGAGAACGTGCTGCCCACAGATCCCGCACTGTGGGTCCCCCAGGGAACACGTGCTGGGACAGAACAGGGGCTCCACGCAGCCTTGAACCCCTTGGCTGGAGGGCAAAGCTCAGCTGGGAGCTGCTGATCCCACCAGGGTGACAACAGAGCAGTGTGGCCAACCCGGCCCTGCCAGAGGTCAGGAATTGTTCAATAACAGCACCAGCAGCTGCTGAGCCGTCAGATTTTCACCAAGTTTGCATTTGGCTTCTGCTCATTAGCCACTGGGATGAGCAGCCATGAGCCCCATGTCAAACAATGTCCCCAGGTGGTCACCAGGCACCAGAGAAATCCCTCTGGACTGGGGATGGCATAGCTGAGCTTATCACCTTCCCTTGAGGTGCAGGGGAAGAGGTGCTTTAGACTTGGCTTAAACCCAGAGAGACCCAGCTTAAACCCAGAGCAAAATTGCAATGCAGTGCAAAGGGAAAAAGTCCCCTTTCAAAAAGGGGAAAAAATCAAAAACTGACCAATGTGAACACTGGGGGCATAATCTGGGTCGAGTTGGTTATCACTTGATGTGTGTTTAAAGAAAAGAAATCCTCAAGCTTTTGTACCTGGTGTCTTAGTCCACCCCGGGCTCAGAGCCTGGCACATGGTGCCTGGGTGCAGCAGGTTCTTTTCCTCACTCCCTGGCACCAGGAGTCAAAATGTCTGGGCTCAAAAGTCTCAATTTAGAAAAATTAAAATATTAGAAAACATCAGAAAAGTAAGTGAGAAATCCCCCAGCTTTTTCCAGATTTCTGCCTCCTTCCCTGGGCTCATCACGTCTGGCCCTGGCAGGAGCCCAGCCCTGCCATCCAAAAGGAGCTGGGGAGTGAAGCAGAGGTGATTCTCCACTGCCTCAAAATCCCCAACGATCCCAACAGCCCTGCATTTCTGTGTCTGGTCCCAGACGTGGGACATGAATCAAGGGCAGGAGTGCAGGCACACGCTGTCACGTGCTGCCACCCGTTTCCATGGTTTCCCATGACTGTTGCTCTCAAGGGCTTGGGGTTAGGAGGCGACTTGTTCCAGAAGGAGAGAGATGCTGCCTTGACACCACTGCTGCCTGCTGGCCCCGAGGGGAGCTCAGCACAGTGCCTGCTGCTCAGACAGGGCACTCCTGGCCCCTGGGGCTCAGGGAGGGGGACACAGAACTCCGTCCCCATGGCCAGTGCAGACACTGAGATGGGGTCAGCCTGCATAATCCGTACTGAAGAAATCAATCCATCTCTCCCAGATCCTGATTCAGCATCCCTGATCCCTCTCCCCTCACCAGCTGAGCATCACAGCCCTCCTGCTTTCCATCTCCTTCCTGTGGACCTGTTCCTGTGATGGGGTGACACTGTGGTGCCCTGTCCCTGCTGAGCCTGAGCCTGCTTCTCCCAGAGCTTCTGCACAGCAGGAAGAGATCAATTGCTTGTTCAAGCCATCCTCCATGCCAGCTGCAGAAGGTGAGGATGGGTTTCCAGGCCCTCCAAGCCTCTGCTTGTGGCATGCCATGTTCCTGAGGGGTCTGTACCCACCTGATGATGGCTGCTCCCACTCCTCCCGTGCCCTCCCACGTTGCCTCTCCTCCTCTCATGTGCTGGGTGCAATGAGAAATGTACTTGGCTCCTAATCCTTGAGTGGGAGGTAAAGGCAAAAAAACCCAAGACTTCAGCTCCACAGCGTGTGGGATGTGGATGATGGCAGATCCCCACCTTTGACTTCTCCAGTGTCTCCGGGGTGAAGGCAGACACCTCAAATCCAGACCTTTGGGTCTGAGTCCACCCTTCCTGGTGCTTGGGGACAGCTTTGTCATTTGGTTCCTGGAGAATAACAGGCTACTTCTTGTGTCCTTTGCAATTCAGCTCCCTGGGGCCTTCTGACAGACAACATTACTTGGGGTGGTCCCAGGAAGACACCACATGAGATCCATCAGGAAATGCTTTGGGAAGGAGCTGCAGGAGCTGCCCCAAGGCCTTGGAGCTGGTGGGATTCCAGGGCTGCAGCGAGGATCCCTTCTCCAGACCCTCAAGACACCAACCTGGCCAGAACAGGAGCAGTCCTGGGATTCTGAGTGGAATAAGGCCAAAGGCACCAGTTCCTCCTTTATTCTCCTCCCAGAGCCATTCTGGGCTACTGACCTGGAGATATTGGATTGTCACCCTGACCTTTGCTGAAGCAAAGCCTCGGGTTGCCAGCCCAGCTCACCCAGCAATGCCCTCAGCAGGCCAGGCCTCTCTCTCCCCTTTCCTAATCCAGCCCTGCTGCCAACTGCAATGCCCCAGCCTGAAAAGGAATAACAACTTCAGGCAACAGCTTTGCAGTGGTGCTACCCAGGGAGGGAAGGATTTAGCCTAAAGCCTGTACAAATGCTCTGTGCTTATTGCAGGTTTCCTTCCCCCAGCTCCTCCGATCCCAGGAGATCCGTGTGCAGTCCTGATGCTCCAGCTGTGCTGGCAGTACCTGTGGCCTGAGCATCTCTGCAGGGTCAGGCTGGAGGACAAAAGGGGCTGCAGGCAGCAGGACCCCCCCCCAGATCCAGCTGGGGTTGGATTGCTGCCTGAATCTCCATCCCAAGGTGGGGGTGATCCCAGTTTAATCACACAGTCACTGTCCCCATTGCTGGAAGGCTTGGTCCCCAATTTACTCAGAAAGACCTGAAGTACTGAGAAACTGGGATTTCCCCAGTTCCATGTCTTCAGCTTGGCTGGGAGGAGATGTGCCAGGAAAGTGACAGTGAGGGAGCTGCTGTCCCTCCCAGCTCTGTGACACCTGGGCTGTGGTGAGGGGCAGAGCCCGGAGCAGACATTCCTGACTGATGGAATCCAGACTGCAGGCAGTGCTGCTGGAGCTGTGGGGAATGTGCTTAAACCAAAGCAGCTCAGATGCTCCTTCCTGCATGGGAACAGGGCTCCTCTGCTCTGGGCTCCCAGTCCAGCTAATGTGGCTTCATGCAGACTGAGGTGCCACCGGAGCAAACCTTCCAGTGGGACCCTGCCCCAAGCCCCCAGCTCCCAGAGGGACCACAAGCCCTGTGGCCACGCCAGCCTCAGTTCACCACCCCCTTGTGTGGGAGCAGGAAGGTGTGGGACACCGGGCACTGGGACAGCAGCACTGAGGTGATGCCTGGGAAGGGGCCATGGGCTGGAGACCCTTGGCAGCAGCAGGCAGGGTGGAGGCACTGGGGACAGCACAACCTCCCCATGACCTTAAATCTTATGACAGTTTTTCTGGTTTCCTCCCCCAGAAATCCCTACCAACCCACACAATCTAAAAAACCCCAAAGATTAGGAAATCTAGGGCAATAGGAAGAAAGGAGCCCTGAGAGAGGGGCTGGTGCTGCCCAGGGCTCTCTGTCACGACAGGGCAGGGCAGGGTGAGACAACCCTGGAGAACACTTCCAACCCAGATTAACCTGTTCCTGAACTGGGAATGTTGCAAAAACTCCCAGTTCTACACTGGGATTTGGAAGAAACTGAAACCTTGTGATGCAACTGGGAGAGATGAAGCAAGAGGCGCTCAGGAAGCAGATGACAGATCCAGCACCACGGGGCTTCATGAACAAGGCATTAGCCAGCTGGTAAATTTCCCCAGACCCTGAACAGCCCCCTGTGTCACCACTCTTCCCTTCACCGCCAGTGCCCAGCTCTTCCCCCCTGGAGCATAGCCCCTGTCACAGCCAGACCCTTCAGTGGTAAGCAAGAGTGACAGGGTTATTGGGAAACAACTTGACATTTCCAAACTGATTCTCTTTGCTGCTCTTTTCCTTCCTGAAGCTGGTCTGAGCATGGCAGGGGTTGCTCAGGAAAGCCAATAAGCTAATGTATTCATATCATCTCACATTTGGTGCCAGGACATGAAGTAAACACCATCAGGACTTCTCTCTGGTTCAAAGACAAGCCATGATTCTTATTCCGATCACATTATCCATGCTCCTTGTACAGCTTCATTGATTCATATCTTAAAACGAAAAGCCT